ACTGCTCTTGCCTCTCCTACATTCCTTCACAAACTCATACTGCTTTTTTCTGTTTCTATCGCACTCCTTTTCTCTGTTTTCACAGTCATTGTAGGTAGTCGATTTGACACAATTGCCTATCATATTCTAGTTTCATATTCATTGCAGCTCACAGTTCTTTCCAGTGTTCCAAAGCATCTAGTCAGTCCGTCCTCGGCTTCGGACGGGACGGACACCGGTTTCCGGAACTCTGCCCGGGATGGATGCCTATCTTGTGGTCCGTCTTAACCACTACCCAGACGGCCGGGCCCTGTGGGTATCTCACCTGCAAATGGCCCTATAGATGACGGCCGGGCCCTGCGGATGATGGCTGGGCCCTGCAGATAACCACCGGGCCCTGCGAATGACGGTCAGGCTCTATGAATGACGGCCGGGCCTAGCAAATGACGGTCGGGCTCTGCGAATGACAGCCGGAAGATGCTATTTGTATCAAGACTCCCGGGCCCAGGCGTCAACCCTTGGAATGGCGGTCTTTAGCAAGATGGACGCCATGCTCTGCCATCCTTACCCACCCTGCCCGGGACGCCCGGGACTGCAAGCCCGCCAGGGCCCTGTAGGGCGCCCGGGACGGTTGGCAACACTGGTTCATTTACAACAGACGATACCTCCCCCCCGCCTCATTGCTCATAAATACAAGAATCATACCAGGGGTCACCTTGACCTCATGGTATGTGTCAGCTGTAGAGGATATCCCAATTCTAAAATCTTAAGCGAAGTTTTTCAGGGTAGACACTAATGGAGTGGGAGTCAAATAGAGCATTTGCAGGGGGCCAAGCCGGCCTGCAGATACCCTCCAGATGCATAGTCTGGCCTGGCCAGGTCAAAGTGAAACTGATCTGGGCTTTGTAGGCCAGGCTTTGGTGAAGCCTATAGGCTACATGAATGCCTGGGGGCAATGGTCATGGTAGGCTTTTGGCATATGCTGCCTAACCAATAAATATTACATCTATGCACCACTAATATCTAAAGATACCTACAGATATTAGAAGATGCCGGCCGAGATCTAAAGATGCCTGCAGATATCTAAAAGCCAACAGATATCTACAGTCTAGCCAGGCCCGGTCAGATAGGTCAGTAAAGCCGGACTATGGCCTACATTCCTGCCCGGCCATCAGCAAAAAATCTCAGGCGGGCCGGCGCTCTGGACGTCAAGCCAGGCCAGACTGGCCGCTTGCAGACACTGGTCAAATAGGAACGACAGGGTTGTTGCTGGTCAAAGTGAGCAAACTTTGAGTCAGCTAAAGGCTGGCAAGGCTGTCATAGATCGTGGGATGGTCGGACCAGCTATCACACCCCTCGCAGGAGCATTTGAGTTTGACGCCAGTGAAATCAACTCTTACATCACCTAAGTTCTTCTGAACTTCGATACCCAGGATGCCTATCGGATTTTGGCCGGTGTTCAGAAAGCTGAGGAAGCAGTAGTTCCAACCTTAATATTCGGACTACCCAGGCCACTATCCAACCTTCCAAAAATGGTTCTTCCAGCTACCCCAAACAGTCTGCCCCTTTGACTCTGTGAAGATTGCATTTTGCCAACAGTGGAAATAGAGAGTGCGTCAGTGTTCCCAAACGTCCAGTCCGTCCGTTCTTGGCTTCGGACGGGACAGACACTGGTTCCTGAAACTCTGCCCTGGTCGGACGCCCGTCCTATGGTCCCTCCTAACCACTACCGAGGACGGCCGGCCGGGCCCTATAGGTGTCTCACCTGCGGATGGCCCTGCAGATGAGAGCCAGGCCCTACAGATGACGGCCGGGCCCTGCAGATGACGGCCGGGCCCTATAGATGACGGCCGGGCCCTGGTGAGGACGGCTGGAAGATGCCATTTGTATTCAGACTCCGGGGCCCGGGCGTCAACCCCTCGGACGGCGGTCTTTATCAAAGACGGATGCCATGCCCTGCCGTCCTTACCCACCCTGCCCGGGATGCCCGGGACTACAAGCCCGCCAGGGCCCTGTAGGGCGCCCGGGACGGTTGAGAACACTGGAGTGCGTGGGCACTGGGGCCTGTCATTGGGCTAGAGGAATTGACGCTGCAAGGATGCTCCATCGGGGTTGAAAGTATAGAAACCTTTCCCAAGAGTCCCGGTATATAGATTAGATCTGACTGGACACAGGAAACATTTCGGGGCTGGAAGCTTCGGGGGGGTTTTTCAAGAGTACCTCTCCACCGATACAACCACATCCAAGAATAGACCATCATATTACTATGCATGCAGACCGCTTTTTGCAGCTTCTTTAAGCGATAATGGGTGAGCGTTAAATTCAGGGTTTGATTCGTGAAGAGGAGTATAAGAGGTTGCTGAATCCCCGTCTCTACCTCCGCATAACGACTCCCTTTAGTTGAGTGGGCCCAATATGGCAAGTACTACAGCAACAACCGAACCCATGCGTTGCAACGTCGAATTCAAAACCCTTGATGGAACGACACTAAGCGGGTGGTTCTATCCAGCTGGGGAAAATGCCCCGGCAGTGGACATTTCTCACGGCGTAACTCTCCCTCTAGTCTAGTCCTTACTGTTCATCTCCTCCTACTAATCATAAAGCTAGTTCGCCTGCCTAAAATCCTGGTCCCTCCCAGCGATTTCCACAGCTCTCCAGTCCTCAGGGATCGCATCTCTCATCTACGACCATCGCTGCTTCGGCACATCGTCAGGCACGCCCCGCCACGACATCGATCCCGATCTGCAATGCTCAGACGTCCACGACGCTGTTAGTTACCTACTTTCCTTCCCAAACGTGAACCCCGACAAAATCGGCATAATTGGGTACAGCTACTCGGCGGCCCACGCCGTAAAAACCGCTTCCCTGGACCGGCGCATCAAATCCGTCATTTCGATCAACAGCTTGATCAGCGGTTCCTGGCTGTTGGGATTAATGCTCCCGGACAGAATTTCCACCGACGCGCTTATATGGGAGGACAGGGAACGGCGTCGTATTGGTGATGGGGAAGTTGGATACCTCCCTGTCTGTAGAACACCAGAAACGCAGGGTGATATGGTGTTTCTGCCGACCAAAGGGGCGTCAGAATTTTATCTGCGGATGCAGAAAGTTGAGATTGCTAATGGCAGGGAGTGGAGGAACGAAGCTACAATCCAGAGCCTTCTGGAACTGAGGAAATATAATATTATGGAGGATATGAGGGTTTTGGCCCCCACGAGCTTGTTGATGATTGTGGATGAGTCTGTCCTCAAGAGTGGGGAAAACAGGAAGGCCTTTGAGGCGGCGGGGGAGGGGGGCGAAATTGTAAGGGAGTTTGTTACTGTCGAGGGTGAGCATTTTGATGCCATGACTGAGGGTAAGGGGTTGGAGAAGGTTATCGAGCATTCGGTTAGTTTTCTCAAGAGGGTTTTTTGAAGGGGAAGTTGAGGAGAGAGCTCTCATCCCTTAGGACTCATTCTTATTATATAACCCCGGCCTAGGCTCCCCGGGAACCCCCAGGATTAGGAAATGAGTTGTCCGTTTGTAGTTTTTCCAATGCATCTGACCCAATACCGCTCTACTCTTGGCAATTTAGATATTCTACGGGGAGCCAGTGTTCCTAATGGTGTCGGTCCTCCCAGGGGTGGGATATGACAAACTACGGGCCCGGCGCCCAATGTGATGCGGTAAAAGCCAAAAATTAAGCTCCGAGGTGTTTGATCTTATACGGCTAAACTATATCCCTCGCGGTGTAATACTACCTTGTTCGTCCGGAACCCGAAATCCTGATCCTAATCATAAACCCACCCAACCTGCACCCGCTATACCCGCCCCCGCCCTACGGAGACTCGAGAATCCAATCCCATCTCCAAGACCTAGAGCGTCTGTAAGCGAGATCAAGCGTCGGCTTTTGTTTAGCCGAAGCTCAGATCATTCTGTGTAAGAGTGTACGGGTATCCACAGTTACCTTTCAGATTTGTTTTCGGGTAGGTAGTTGGGCAATCAGAGGAAAGTTGAGTTCGGATTTCGTGTCATGGTGAATACATTGTTCCCCTTTAGGAATAAAGACGAAGAAAGCTGTTGAGCTTGAGCGCAATAGGGCCAATCTGTCATAGTCGGAATGTGAAAAGCACAAAGTCTGACCCGGAATTGTAGGCCGTAAATGTCACCCTCCACCATAATTTTCTGCTTTCGTTGGGATATCATCTCGCAGCCGAGATCCCTAAGTACAATTTCAACGGGAGGAATTATGATACAAGATTTCAGAACTCGTCGGTGTGCAGCCTCTTAGAAGGGCCTGGTTTAAAAAGTGCGACGCCTCTTGGGGGTTTCATGAGCGCTAGATGCGAGCGACGGCCTTCCCAACACCGCGGGTAATTCCCGCGTACTCGAGTTGGTCCTACCGTGTTCACCTGCTGAATCGTTAAAGCCGATTATACCCAAAGGGTAGTCCAACTTAGTTCTTTAGCAAAGGAGTGAGAAAAAACAAGGCTCTTGGACCGCCTGTCACGCTTATCAACTTACTTTTACACACTGCCCACCCGGGGGTCCTTCCGGAGTATACTTGTTTCCTGAAACCGACAGTTTCTTTGGTTGGCATTGGGATCGTGGGCTCCCGGTTCGGATACGGCATCACGCATGAGTTAGCAACGTGCCGGAAATGACTTGATTCGGTGGGTATATAAAAAAAAACAGTGGAATTACGACACAAGTGGGGGATATAAGTTACTGTCGCGGTCGGGAACTCTAATCGCTCTTAGCATGCTTTGGAACAAGCTTGTCGGTTAGTGTTGCCTGGCATAGTACGGAGGTTACCAGATCTGGCTCAACGCTAGCTACCATAGGAACTCGAGTGATTGGACAACGTTCCAGGAATTTGGAAGGTTCCTGGTAAGGTCTTGTATTTTCATTTTCTCTTTTATTTTTTATCCAGGGGGGAGTCATTTTTTTTTTTTTGCTTTTCCGACCCTTCCGCAAAGTAGGAAATCTCGGGTTATCATACCCAGCTCAGGACCTCTTGGTTCGAATTGGTAGGCTATAGCGCTGTAGCGCGCCGTCAGAACTCCGTAAGAAGTTTGGTCCCACCCCTAGTTTTCTATGCAGAGCACCAATTTACAGTGCTGTACAAGCACGCACCTGTCTGGCAACGAAAGATGAAAATGGTTCGAAAATTCTTCAACCTCCAATCAAAGTTTTCCTCTCCCGGTAGGGAATTCCTAAAGATTTACATACCGGTGACTCCCTTGATCCTCAGTCCTAAGGAATTATGCTAAAAAGGCTCGGCATCTGAGTTCGAGGCTGGAATCAAAATCGGCCTCCAGGATCGCCAATTTGTATGGTCTTTGCCACCGAGACGACTTGGGCCAGACTCATTTCTCAGTATGGTCCTTTGGAACCGTGGGTAAAAATTGAAAATTTCACAATGTCGGATTTTCCACAGATATCCCCATATTATTAAAGACGGGGTTTATCACTGTGATTTCCGATGGCTAATCGAGAATAGGAATCTTGTGGTGGGGAACCAGGTGGGGGGCATTCCCCTTGTTGCCAAAATCGTACAAGGATGTCTGGTGGGCAGGGTACTGTACACGGCAGGAACCTATCTGCTTTTTGTGGTAGTAGTGCTCCGTTTAGCCAAGAATCCCTGGAGAAATAGACTCTGTAGCTGGGGGCAGCCGGGGGTAGCTGGAGTTTTTCATAGTGGGCAAACTGCCACCCCTGATGATTTAGTGGACTGTCCATCCAGATAATCAGTACCGTAGCCCTATTTACTACTCTTGGTTGTAAGTTTACTACCATAATGGGAAATGATCGACTGCTGAATAAGAGACTTTGACTTAACACTGTGGATTCATGGGAAGTGTATAGTACCACGACCCACAGACCGGCAAAAGCTCCGACATCCGGTGCAAGACACGACCCAGCAGACTTTGCAGAACCGGGGCCTGTTTTTCCCGTTCTGAGAAGCAGGGTAGTAACCCGCCCCCCCCCCCCTGCTCGTTGGCCCCGGGAGTGCTATTTCCAAGTGGTTCAAATGGGGGCAGCGGGCGAGCAGTGGGCAGAATTGGACACTTGCCATCATAATTATCTAGTCCACCGGTATTATTCGCCACTCCGGCTACCTACTATAAATAACCTTGTGTGAGGCAGTAACGGAGCGCGTCACCTCACCGGGCTGGAAATGCAGGGGATCATGGGCGACGGATATATTACTGTGAGTTGCCGGAAGAATTAACCGACGACGGATGCTGAGTACGATGGCTGCTTTGAGTGGCAATGGGTGAGCATCAATCCCAAACTATGGTACTCGAAGCGGGGTATGGGTGCTTGCTATATCCCCGTCCCTCTCTACCCTTGAGAGGTAATTCCCTTGGGTTGAGTATGGTACCATAAAACCGCTTACAATCCACCGTCTCCGCCAGCCCTGTATTCTCCGGATGCTTGGCCCCTCCCAGGGATACCCACAGCTCCCAAGTCCCCGGGCATCGCATCTCTCCTCTACGACCACCCTTGCTTTGGCACATCATCAGGCAAACCCCGCCAGGGCGTCGATCTGCAACGCTCGGATGTCCATGACGCTGTTAGCCACCTACTATCCCTCCTGGACGCGGACCCCGACAAAATCGGCATAATTGGGTTTAGCTACTCGGCGGCCCACGCCGTAAAAGCTGCTTCTCTGGACCGGCGTATCAAAGCCGTCGTCTCAATAAATAGTGTTATCCGTGGTTCCCGGCTGTTGGGACTAATGATCTCGGATAGAACTTCCGCGGACGCGCTTATATGGGAGGACAGCGAACGGCGTCGAACGGGTGGTGGGGAAATTGGATACCTCCCTATCTATAAGACCGTCGGAACCCCGGAAAATATAGCATTTTCTCCGACAGACGAAGTGGCGGAGTACTACCTGGAGATGCAGAGAGCTGAGATTGCTGACGGCGGGGAGTGGAGGAACGGAGATGCGATCCAAAGCCTCCTAAATATAAGGGAATATAATATTGTGGAGGGCATGAAGGTTCTAACCCCGGAAAATTTGTTAATAATTGTGGATAAAGATTCTGTCAGGAGGGGAGAGGACTGGAAGGCTTTTGAGGCTACGGGAGAGGGGGGTGAAATTGTGGGGGAGTTTGTAACTATTGAGGGTGGGCATTTTGACTCCCTAACTGAGGGTAGGGGGTTGGAGAAGGTCAATTAGTTTTCTGAGGAGACTCTGTTGATAAAGGGGGGGGAGGGGTAGAGGAGATGGTTCTGATGCCTTAGCTCTCGCTCATACTAGCTTAAGTTTCTCCAGACCTCCCAGGATTGGGAAATAATTTATTCATTTGTAGTTTGTCTGAAATATTTAACCAAATCACCCCCTTCACTGGAAAATTGGGAAATCTTGCGGAGAGCTAGTGTTCCTGGGGGTGGCCATCCATGACAGATAGGACCGCACAAACTGAGGACCCGGGTGCCCGGTATGATGCCGCAAACTCCAGCGCTAAGCCTCCGTCCTCGTATGTCCTTGAAAGAACCCGGAATCTAAGTTATAATTGTAAACCTAATTAGTCTGGCCTCACCTTGCCTCTACTCCATAGGCACCTTAGAATACTCCATATATGAATCGTAAAAGTGCGTGTTTGCATACCGCATACCTATTATTCTCGCTGTTCGAACGATTTTCTGACAAACAGCTCAACCCGGTCCTGAATCCCTAACCGGAGCTCTGATAGTTGGATAAGGTATCAATTTTTGGTTTATCGAAATTGAGACTGTTTTTCCTTTTTCGGTGGAGTGGAGGTCGAAGGTGATTTCTTTTCCCACTAGAAGTCATAGATAACCCCTACAAAAGGTTTCCCAATATTCCTAGCTGAGCTTGTCACTTTATGGCTCATCACTCCTATACCGGCATAGTAGAATATGTCCCCTGTGTAAGGGTTAATTTAGTGGTTCTGTTTCATTTTTTTCGGCTTTATGCTTCGTGAGGTGATTGCATAACTCAGTAGTTCATGTTGAAACTCGTGGACGTTCCATCACATAGTTAGCAAAACAGTTTATGGTTACAGGATGTAGTTGGAACGCATGCAGGGCATGCTATAGATTTGGATTGATGTCGCAGAAGTGTATCATTGTGTTTGGAATAGAGCTGGGATATATTAGCTTAGGAGAAAGAAGACACAGAGGAGTTTTGGATGGTTTCATTAGTTAGTGTTTGGCACTATCTGGTTAGCTTGTAACGGATGATACTGGCTTGTGTCGGACCAAGAAGATAGTGGAACCTATCAGGAGAGTGGTTGCAACCATTACCGGAAATGTCTTTATCCTCCGGTGGATGAGTTGGGAGCAAGGCACTGGTGTTGGGCAAGGGAAGCTGAGTGGAAGATGGTGCAAGAACTTTGGGAATTTTCCTGATGTTTCCTTGAAGTCAGATTATGTATAAGTAGGACACCTCCGACATGATAAAGAAAAATAAGAGCCAATAAGCCACTCTCATACGATCATAGCCTATTTTGAAAAGGTTATGAGCCCGGATCGCACTCCTGCCTAGGATATTCTTTTGCACATCTATTCTTTGTATCCTTTCTGTCGAATACCTTACACAAACAAAGACACAAAGCAACTTGCTCGCTGTGCAAAACAATGACCAGCCACCAGTCCAGGACGGCAACCTTCACCTCTGTGAGCCACTCGATCGAAAAACTAGATAGGTCGATGGCAACAGGCAAAAGCAACTATGGTGCATGGAAGTTTGGCATCCTACGTATACTTAAAGAAAAGGGTTTATTAAGTACTATTGAGTCTACAGAAACCACACCTGAAAACAACTCCGAAAGCACTCAGGAAGAGGTCAGCAGCCATGCTGACGACCAGGCCTTCACCATTATCTCCCTCAACATACGCGATTCCCAGATCCCACATATCCAGTCTGCACATAATGCAAAGGATGCCTGGGATGCTCTCGCAAAGGTCCACCAAGGAATCGGTTCCAACGGTCATATGATTTTGATGCAACAGTTGTGGAGCCTTCAGCTTAAGGAAGGTCAAGACGTATCAGCTCATGTGAACAACTTTAAGGAGCTCTCTGTACAGGTTGCGAACCTCTCAGAGAATGGAGACGGAATACCGGATAGCGATCTGTTCTCAATATTGAGTGTCTCACTCCCGCCATCATATGAGCCCCTCATTATGGCAGTTCAGTCTCGCGCCAATACTATAACCTTTGACTTCTTGGCAAGTTGATTGCTGCAAGAATCCTCGCGGCGGCAGGCAGCAAGAACCAACAATCACCAAGCCGAACCCCTTACTGCGTTTCCTAGTCGAACTAGTTTAGGACACCGCAGCAGTCCGACACACAGAACTCGAGGTGTAAACCGACATGGAGGAACGATGAGGTCTGGTCCTTTTCGTCCCATGCAGGGCCAAAGAAAAATTGGTGTTCGTGGTAAATGCCATTACTGTAATCGGGAAGGACATTGGAAAAAGGACTGTTGGAAGAAGAAAGAAGATGAGAAAAATGTCCGGAATGAAAACCTTGCCTTTGTAGGACTTGGAAGTAGAGGCATTAGAGGAAGCGATTGGATTATCGATTCTGGAGCATCGCAGCACCTTACTGCACAGCGTAACCTATTCATCAACTTCGCGGAAGTTCAGCCAACCTCGATCACGATTAGGAATGGAAAGAAGATTACCGCAACTGGTCGTGGAGATATCTGCCTCAATACAAGTGTGGGGCAGGTGAAGCTTAGTGGAGTACTCTTAGTGCCGGAGATTGGAAGCAAGTTGATAAGTGTTGCCCGGATCGTGGACAAGGGATTGTAGGTTGAGTTCACTGGAACTGGATATGTCGTCAGCAAAGGACTCATGACAAGAGTGATTGGACAACGACAAGGAAATGTCTACTTCTTAAGAGGCCGTGAAGAGAAAGCTATGACCAGCTTGTCAAATGTAACCAACAGTGCAAGTAGAGAGACTTGGCACTGGTGATTAGGTCACTGAAACCTGGATGCGATAGCTGAAGAGCGACTGAAGAAGTCAGTAACAGGATTCACCATTAATTTAGAATGCGAACCTGAAGCAAACAGGCCATGTGGATGTTGTGCCAAAGGATGACAGAACCGGGAAAGACTTACCGGTGAGAGATCAAAAGCGAATGAGTTACTCCAAACGATCTATTCAGATGTGTGTGGACCTATGAGCGTTGCGGGAGTCTCTGGAGAAAGGTATTTTGTAACCTTTATCGATGAAAAAAGTGGTCGGGTCGCTATTGCAGTCATAACGCAGAAGTTTGAGGTTCCAGAAAGATTTATGAATTATAAGGCCCGAGTTGAGAATGAAACGAGAAAGAAGATCCAGAGTCTACGATACAATGGTGGTGGAGAATTTACCGGGAATACCTTCTGGGAATACTTGCGGCAACGTGGCATTACGCAATAGATCACACCACCCTATACCCCACAACATAACGGAATCGCCGAATGCATGAACTGTACTATAATGGAAATGGTTAGATGCATGATCTATGAGGCAGGCTTGGACAAAATGTTTTGGACATATGCGGCTCTTACTGCTGCCCATATCATAAATCGACTTCCCTCAAGCGCCCATGAATACCGAACACCCTATGAGACATGGTGTCACAAACTCGACTTAGCGAGGATTAAGATAAGTTAAAATTGTTAAAGATCTCCTTAAGTTTTGTTATGCGCTTAAAGGTTGTTTGACACTTAACTCGCTTCAAGAGTTATGGGTGTTTATGTTTTGATTATTATGTTTGCGCCTGACGACTCATAGTTGTGAGTCACACAATGTTATGAGTTTCGCACATGACTCAAGCTATGAGTCATGGGTTTCACTCAGGTGACGCGAGTTGCGCACCTGATCTTATAGTTTGATTGCGTTTGATTTAGGTACGACTCATAGGAGTCAGATGATGTATTTCACATGACTCACAGTTGTGAGTCAGAGGTTAGGTGTGACTCATAGTTATAAGTCACCAGGGTTAGGGTTTCTCAAGGGAGGACTATATAAGGAGGAGGACCTAGCTAGTTAGTAGTTCCTCACGCGTTGTTCTAAGGACTTTCCTACATACAAGAATATATCTTTATACCTTTATGGTACGCTAGGCAGATTGAAGAATGTCTAACTAGCTATCATCTCGATAAGCGATCAAGACATTGGCATCGGCCTAAGAACGATGAACGAAGTATTAACGGTCGTCACCTATTGGATCACGAGTACCATGGGAATAATCAAGTACCATGGGTAGGATCGTTACACATGGTATAAAACTCAACCATCGATTGCCCACCTACGTGTTTTCGGCTATAGAGCATATCGCCACATCCCGATGCAAACATGACAGAAACTCGATCCCAAGGCAAAGAAGTGTCGCTTGATTGGCTACTGTGATGACAGTGGAAGCCGAGTTTATAGGGTCTATGATGAGAAGGCAAAAAGAGTTGTCATAACAAGAGATCTAGTGCTTGACGAGAGGGCCAGCGAAGAACCAGAGTTTTCAAGAGAAGAAGGGAAAAGAGATGAGAGGCAGGTCAAAAGAAATGACAGAGAAGGAGATGTGATACAACATATAGGTATCGGCAATGCAGAACGCGATACACATCAGCAAAAATACTCTTTTGCATCCTGTACTTCCTATGCGTCTGATACTCTGGAAGTTGTAAACGTAAACTCGCAATCTGGATGGGCGCACCCCTTTTGTGTCCTGACTCACCAGGCGTTCTCCCCGGGATTCTCCCTGTTAACCATTCCCCAAACGTGTGGACCTAGGCTTAGTTACTCCGGACATCTACGGACGTTTGTATTCTTTTACTCACGCGTTCCCCCCACCGATCTCTTCTTCCGGAGCCCTGTTCATACTTGCTCTCTTCAACCCATTCTTCCCCCTTAGATAACTAGTTTCGTCTGCGCTCTGTCTGCATTCGGCCGTGTTTTTTCTTTCTCGTCCAGACGTCCCCCATTCCCCCTCTGATCTCATCGTAGTTTCCCCTCCTATCTTTCCTATCTTCCAATCCGGCTTTGCATTTCTTTATATCCGCCGGGCGTATTTAAAGTGCCACTCACTTCTGCCCACAGCCCGTCCGCATTCCTCCCGTATTCTACTTTCTCGTCCAGATGTCCCCCATTCCCCCTCTGATATTGCCGTTGTTTCCCCTCCTATTGTTCCTATCTTCCAACCCGGCTTTGCCTTTCTTTATA